TCCTGCTCAGGGACTTGAGCAGGAAAGGCAGCCATCTACCTAAATTTTTGTGTGATAGGAACCAAGGGTCATTATGTTTCTCTGAAAATGCAGGATCTGTCTTGGCACTTTATATGACCATAGTGCCAGCACAGTGCAATGAGGGATGGGTATCTAAAATAGCAAATAAAGTCAGAAGTGAAAGATGGCAAATATTTTTAATTGTGATACCATCAAAATAAGAGAAACTACCTAGGGTCAGCCGCACATTGATTCTGTGAGGGTGCCTGCTCAAAGGAAGTTTAGCCAACCTGTCTTAAAGGAAGTTGATATCAAGAAAGAGCCAAGCATATAAAAAACAAGTACCAAAATGTATCAGTATATGAAAAAGTATCACCTTTGCATAAACTGACACCCTGGCTAGGACTCTCAGTTTCCAGTAATAGGATAAGACCTTGCCTGCAGACAGAACTGCTGTTGCACTCCTGCACCTTCAATTTTTTTCCAGAAGTTTCAGTCTAGAGTTAAAATGTTTTTATTAAGTACTGCTGGGATGCTCACATAAGGGCTTACACAGGCTTGTGTATTGCAAAATTAATTGCATCGACTTCATGGTACACTTTAACTGCTTCAGCGTTATTTGGAGTTCACACTGGTGAGCTGATGGTCTTGTGACACCAACAGAGTGCTCCCCATTTCCATGTGGGTGCTGGATGCACAGTGGAGGAGTAGTTCAGTCTCAATATATTTATATTATAAAAATAAGAGTTTAGTTGCTGGAAAGTGAAGAGCCTGTGTTGTTAATGCAACCCCCTTCAGCTATCATGAAAAATTCTGGAAGGAAAAAAAAGTCACACAAAAACCCTGATATTCTTTATTTTTATTATAATTTTAACAACATCAGTAAATTATAAGCAAAGCAATTACATGAGGGGGGTCTAATAAAGTTGTTCAAGCTACAACCTACTTTGATTGTTGAATCAAACTGAATAAAGCAGGCTGTTTTCATGGGTTTTTAGCTTCCACGAACATAACTGGCAGTGACATCTTCTGCTTTAAGGGCAATGGTCTTCTGTGGGCTGGGAGTTTCATAATCAGCTGAAAGTAAAAAAAAAAAAAAAAAAAAAAAAAAGGCTGCTTTTCCAGAGTGCAGTAACAGCAGCACTTCCTGCAAAGCAGTGGAAGGCAAGGTCTCAGCAGGTGAAATCCTATCAACTTCAGAAAAAACATTTCTCCCTGACCTGAACAGAAGCACAAGTCAAAATCTGTGCATCAGATTCTCAGAGGTTCCATGACTAGTAGTGATTAAGGATCTTAAAAAAGCCCAACCAAGCAACCCAACCACGGTAAAGGCATTTACAGTTTATTCCCAGAGGACAAATTATTAAGAGTCTGAGCTATGTTTCTTTACAAAAGGCACAGTCACTGGGCCAGATTCTGTCCTTGGACCTCAGAGGGAACTTGAGTGCATAGAAAGGGAGCTTTTCTGGCATCACAGCTTTAATATTTAGACTATCGTGGGAGGAGGAGGGAAGGCATAATGCACCCAAGGCAAGAAACAGCAATACAGCTGCTTTGCAGCCACTGGTGTAGCCCCCAGATACTGTAGTAGCTTTTTAATCTTATATTGCCAATCTTCAGGCAAGTGAACCTCTTAAACCTACTGGTGTGTTCCTAAATCTCATCTTTCTGTGGCAGTGCTGGAAACCACTCAACTTCAGTGCATCCGGAGTCTCTCTACAACTGTAATTTGAGTGTTCTTCCTGTTCTGCAGCTTCTCCAAACCTCACTGTCTATCACCAAGCCTTATGAGACTCAAGAACCACTCCTGCTTCAGCAACTTCACAGCCCCTCCCAGAGAGCACACGTTCTCCCTCCTCATGGCACACTTGCTTTTAAGGACAAGTACCTGCTTTGTTCTCCATCCAGCAGGCAGTGATAGGCAGCAATGTCTTTCTCCAGCTGTTGTTTGCTGGTCAGCAGACTTTCGCGATCCCGCTGCTGCTGCTCGGTTTCTACTTTGATTTCTCCCATCTCTGCCTCCAACTTGGAAATGACAGAGCCTAGATTCTGCAGTTCGATGTCGTGCCAGTGCTTGGCATCGTATAAAGAGTTTTCCAGACCCCTCTTCTGTAAGGGCAGGACAGCAGACATTAAACCAGTCAGTTTTCATACGCTTCATAGTGATTTTTATTCAGATTTGGCCAATATCTCTGCTGAATATGCTTAAGTGCAGATGTATTTTGATAATGATTTTCTTTAGAAACTTTTAAAAATGTGTATTATTACAAGCATTGAACTACTTCGGTTACAAGGGGCAAACTCTTCACATTGACAAGTACTACCCACCCCACAGTCTCAGTGAAATTGTTACTGAGTGCGAAGACACTGAAGATTGAAATTTGGGGCCTGTTTTTTAAATGTGGGACACTTAATGCACCACATCAACCAAGAAGAGCCCAGAAATGTCTGGCATCTCTGGAAACAGTATTTGCTGCAAAACAGGATTTATTCTGAAGTCTACATCCCAAGACAGGGATGTTTTCCTCAGAAGGCACGTTGTATTTGCACAGAATATACCCATTGAAAACCGAACATTACTTGCCAAGGTTCTCAAAGATTCAGTTTCTGCTTGCAAGCTCTGTATTTTGCAGGCAATTTCATGGAATTCAGTCCTGAGGCCCTCCACCAGCTCTTCCTCCTGGGTTCGCATAGCAGCTGTCGTATCAGCCTGTTGCTGGCAAAAGATTGTGACTGTCAGCACAGCCTACTCAAATTATGTTTTAGTTTCCTTACACACCAAACTGACACTTAATATTTTCTCAGAGTGTGGCAATTATGACTTTAAGTTTAGTTCTTGTATATTAAATCACTCAGTTGAACAATTCTGGGTATTAGTGTCAAAAGTATGCTATTTTCTATGCATCTACTGTAAAATGGCTTATACATATCAGTGTATATTTTTAATCTGTGTCAACAAAAGCTGTTCAGCATTCATACTAGTACTTTTAAAATTACCTATGAAAAGAACACATTGCTGTAACTCTTCCTTTTGTAGCTATACTATAATTTTTTTTAAGTTGTGTTTTTGTGATTTTGCTTAATCTATTCAATTTCAGAAATATTCACACCTTGATTTTTCACATAGGATTCTATAAGTCAGAGAGCAAGTCATATCACAGAGGTCAGAGAAATAATTTATTTTAATTTAATTAAGATATTCTTATGCAATATCTTGCTCTCATTGTTGGTGGGTTTTTATATGTGTCTAGTTCAGGTTCCTTGAAAATAGGTGAAGGAAAATGTACCTTAGTAAAAATAAAATTGCTTTACTTTTTAATGAGGGCTGAGATCAAGGTTTTCAATCCAGATCTCTGGGCTCTCTAGTGAATACGATTCTTTAGTCAAACCCTAAATTACTTCTGGTTTGACACTGAAGTTAAACTATGCAAAAGACTTCCATTCCACTCCGAAAATCCATCTTGACTCTGTTCTGCTTTTATGATTATTCATTATTTTATTTTAAAGGAAAAAAAATAATCTGGGACTATGCACCAGGAATCATTTTTATAAATTTTGGGATGTCGTCATGTGAAACCCACACCTTAATCATTGTGAATGAAATAATAATGGGTGGTAAAGGTCATATAAGTACCAAATGACAGAGGAAGCTGTGTAATTGTGTTCAGGGCAGAGTATTGCCATGGATCAACAGTTGGTCAAGAGACAGGACATGAAGAGGAGGATTAAGGTCTAGTTCCATTATGACAGAATTTAACCGCCTGATGCCTTAAGGTTTATTGCCTTGGGGATGAGCTGTGAACTAGAAGGATGTATGGATGATAGATGACATGAATGAACAGCTCCACATCATTAAGTGTGTTTCAGGGGGAAATATTAAGCAGCTTGTGTGCCTTACAAGGGTTTAAATCACTTGTGTCAATTCAGGGAAAAGTTTGGAGCAATATGGGCAAAAAACCACAGAGCTCAAACCGATGGACTAGAGATCCAAGGTTACATACTCATCTAAAAAAATTCCACGTGAAACTCTATTAGGTATGAATATAAATTGGTATGTTTTGGTGCTTGAACACCCATGAAAAATCTGGCCAAGGTTGCAAGTCTAGTCAGAAGACAAAGCAAATGAGGCAAGGGTCAGAAAACAACAAAAGCACTGCCCTGACATCTAAGTCAGTGCTAAGAGGTCATTTTAAATACCTTGGTCTCAACTGGTGACAGCTGTGCCAAAAAGTGGTTACAGAGAAAGGAAACGGAAGTATTAGGGAGAGGGAAAACTCTCAAAGAGAGACTGAAGAAAACACTAGTGAAGAGCAAAGGGGAGGAGAGAACTGCTTTCTTGCCTCTTATGTCACAAAAGAGCAAGAACAAATTTTTCACAGTGTGGATAAGCAAATGGTGCAGCTTAGCTACATAAAATGACCGAAGACCACAAGCTGAGTTGAAAAAAGGGCTGGACATAATTATCAGATATCTGTAGAAATAATAATTATCTGAATACATCTGAATGAGAAACAAAAGGATGTAAGATACAAAACTGCATCATCATCTGTGTTTAATGAGAGGTATATTTGGGGACAAAACCCCCTAATATATCAGAATCTGCTTTGAACTGAAACTGATCTTTCCAGAAATCTGTGATATTCTTATTCTTCCTCCCATTAAAAAGTCAAACTAAACAAGTAAGACCTCAGTCTAAGATGACTAAGTAGGGATGGTTTAGGTCATGTGTGGTCATTTCCATTTCTAAGCAGTGTCTGGTGTTGACCACAATCAAAGAATGGTAGAGGGATCTAGTGATCAGCCTAGTATGAGCTGGCAGTTTTTGTCCTCAAATGATATCTCTCTGCAGTTGTAAAAGCAGATATTGAACGTATGAAAGAAATGGGATGAAAGAAATTGTGAGGGTGTGTTTGCACAGAAGGAACAGGAATGAGCACAACAGGAAACTGAATAATTTTGTGCTGTCAGAGAAATGCTCATTTTGCTGAAACCCAGCAGCGGGCCAGGAACAGATTTTCCAGGAAGGCTACTGAGGATGCTCTGGTTTTTCAAGGATGCAAATTCTTTGTATGGAGGGACTCTCTGGACTCATACATTTTTTTACTTTGTCACTGACTTCCTTTGGGCTGTACAAGCTGAAAATCAGGCCCCCAGTTTTTAGAAAAACTTTGCTCGGTAACTCTCTGGCCTGCTCACAAACATGAAGAGATCTCTGGGATAAACTCCTAATTCCTGTCTTTGGCTCCTTGTACATTCCCTAGTACCTTTGGTATTGTTTGTGTCATAGAACTTTTCTTCTTTATTTTGAAAATAAACACTTCCTCAGAGTTAGTGTATATTTTTGCAAGTGTATTTTTTGTTTCTTGCAGTTTTGCTTCACTACCCTCTACTCTTCTCATAGACTCTGCACCATGGAATGGATGGGGCTATTTTTTTCCTAAATATTTCTATAGCACAGCTCTAGTTATAATTTGGAGTGCCATAGTCTGCTGTAATAGTCAACTCAGAATGAGATGGCTTCTAAAATTTAGGATCGTGCACTGAAGTTAATGCTTCAGCTCTGCAAAAATACTTATTTCAGCCAGCCACTTGGGAAAAGGAGTGATCCTTCATGACTGAGAAAAATCTTCACTAAAGCTATTTCATACTCAGCAATAAGAGAAGGAAACCTTTAAAGGGAGTGGCTGTTATCATCACATTTCATTTCTAAATTAATACCCGATTTCTCACCGCTGCCAAAGGAAATTATTTCAAGGATCAAAACACGAGGAGTCTGTAGCTGTATAATTAGTGATGTGCAATGTATTTTGCCCTTTTGATTTACAGGCCCCTGTAAATTGTGCAGTGAAGGAATGGCCCCAGTCGGAAGGGTAACAACTGTGGCTTATTGCATACTCATATCAACTGGTATCAACTGGCTTGTTTTTCTTAGTCAACATTTTCTTAGTCAACTTTCAGAGCCCTTCAGAGACTCCCTTGGACACTTGTGAAATCAGCAGGGTCATTTCCACTGCTGCTTAACTCTGTGCATCCCAAGACAGCCACTGATATGTGCGAGTGTATTTTCCAATGGACTTGGACCAAAATCCTTTCGATTTTTACCATCTTTTTTTGTTTCAAGAAAAAAACCAAGCATTCAGCCCTCAAAGTTACTGCAGAATATTAGACAGATTTTGCATTTGCTTTGAATCCCTTCGTGTTGGAGTGGGTTACAGAGCACTTACCTTGGTACGAAGCAGGGCGCCTGTCTCAGCACGATTCTTTTCAATGTCTCTCTCCCAGTGGATTCTGATTTTTTCCAGTATGTCATCCAGGCCACTTCCCAGGGGAACATCAAGTTCTTCCAGTTGAGATCCAGCAAGCTGCTTGTACAACACCTTCACATCCTTTAACAAAAACAATAGACATAAAAGAAGGTGAAGTGGACAAATGGATGGTAGCTGCAAAGGGGCTTGAGGAAGAACAGTTTTGGTTCCACGGAGAGAGTAGTTAAATTTGGTCCCAATAAGTGCCTGTACACAAATGGTTTAGTGCACTGGAGGGTTTCTTTTTCAAATGTGGATTTGCCTTGCTTCTGTATGAGAAATCTGGCTGGAGTTCCCCTTGGTGGAAGGAGACTAAAGCCCTGCACCAGAGCACTGCCAGGAGCAGCCCTCTTGCAGTGGCAATTTTCTTCAGTAGTCAGAGCTTGACATATACCCACACTACACACCCAGGAGCACAACTATATTCCACTATGCAATGACACAGACCTGCATCTACTTAAAGATACAACAAATGGTGCAAAGCAGCAGGAGCTCTACAGCCTTGCAGTTTGTGTGAGCCACAAGTGTGCTTTAATGTGTGTGCACGTTAAGAGGAAGAGCACTCCCTTTCTCTGCAAGAGCATTCTGTTCTTTCTTTACATATAAGTGCTCCAAAAACATGTCAGAGGAGAAGATTTGTGTGTATAGATTTGTGTGCTTAAAGGTAGAGCATCAGGTATAGACTGTGTTCAGGAACATGAGAATAAACGAGATTTGCACATGTATCTAAACTGTCTGGCACCACAATCCTTCGACATCATTAGGTTTATATGTGCTATTGACATAAGCAAAAAAAAAGTGGTGTAAAAGCATCTGGGAATTGTATTTGTAGGCAGTGGCCCCTGACAGTACTGGAAGAAAAGGATGGGCAAGTATCTGAATTATGAACAAGCAAGAATGAAAGGCTCAAAATGTGCCCACTCCAAGTGCACAAAAGTTTCCAAAGGACTTGAAGTGCATTATCCTTGTGGGGGCACTGAAGGAAGTAAAGGTTTGGTTTAGTTCAGGAAAATCCTCAGGACTTTATTTTGCCATAGTTCGGCTGCAGTTGAGCAATAGTTGCTTATTGTACCCCTGAGCAGTTTCTCCTGATGCCACTGCCATGGGAAAAACTTGGTCTGTGCTGGGTGCTCAGATGCTTGCAAAAGGTAAAGAAAGGAGCATCCTTCCACCCTGCAAGGGCTCCTCACTGGCTAAATGCAGAGCGAGAAGGACTGTTGGAAAGTTGCTATTCCTGTTATGCCATATATATAGGCAGAGAACAGCATCAATGCCAACTTGTCTGCTTTCACAGCAATCACTGCAATACACAGAGATTTAGAGGGGATCTTGTGTATTTCTATTGATGTTCTGTTTTCCTATGTGTGTATAACAATTTCTTTCCTTCTCATGCCATGCAGTGGTGCTGAAGCCACTGATTTTTTTCTGCAAAATGCCAGCCTTGGGATTGGACTCATGAAAGTGGGGAGGGGATGAAGCAACTTAATCTTGGCAAGCCAAGCCTCCATATGCCTGCCAATGTTTCTGAAATCTTGTGGTTGGAGAAATAAGCCATAAGAAACGTAGGGTAGGATAGTGCCTCACTTCTGTGAGCCATCTCAGTTCAAGCTCTCTTTTAATTTTGAGGCATCAGCACAATTGTTTGCTGTCCCTTATGTGGGATTAGTAGTTTCTCTATATTTCAGCTTCCTTCAGAAAGAAGTTTATTTAGGTCTGATCCTGAAACCGCTGCTGAAGGGAATAAACCACCCTTATGCAAATAGTGCTGGTGAATGTAATGAGTATGTGGGAAAGTACTGCAAAATTGGGTAATCATGACCTTCTCTCCCAGCTGCCTGTCCCTGTGATTTGCTACAGTGCTAGAGCTTTGCTTTTGGGACTGAGCAGCTTGCTAAGCCAAGCAGGAGTTTTTCAGAAGAGCCCAGTTAATGCTACACGTTCGTGCAGCAGGACCATAGCTGGATCTCTTGCACAGGCATTTTCTCTTTACATCTCTGGCTGAGAATCAGAGCTCACTCTTGAGATGTCCACATATGTGACTGAGTGACCCCGTGACCATTGTGTGGTGTCTAGCAAGAAATCATGTGATGTCATCTGGAGCTTTGGGCAACCCGATCTAGTGGGAGTGTCCCTGCCCATGGAAGGGATTTGGAACTAGGTGATCTTGAAGGTCCCTTCCAACCCAAACCATTCTATGATTCTATGATCTCTTCCATGTCATATTTATTAGATGAGAAAGAGATGAAAACTTAGATGTAAGTAATTTGGTCATACCTCAGAGGTTAGTGCTTTAAATTAACAGAGAAGAGAGAAATAGGAGCAGTTTTCAGGACAATTACCCCACCCAGACATGGTAGGCAGAGCTTTTTAGTGCTTGCTTTGCTCTAGATGTGTGATACCAACCAGATGAAACAGGCACACATTAGCTTTGCAGTGTCTTGAGTCTGAACTTACTTCTTCGTGATTCTTTGACAGCAAATTTAGTTCTTCTTTCATGCTCTCTATCTGACTCTCCAGATCCATTTTAGTTAAATTAGCATCATCAATCACTTTATATAGGGAATTAATTTCATCTTCCACTGCCTTTCTGAATGGCTGCTCATTTTCATACCTGCAGAGAAAAAAAACCACAACAAACCCCCAAATCTTAACAGCACAGCTCAGCAAGAAACACCTGCGTTTTTTTAATTGACACCATTGTGCTAATTAGCTCATGTAACCCAGACAGAGGCACAGAAACACAGAAGATATACTTTTCTATAACCTTGTCTTGCTGTACTTGAATTTAACTGTCTGAAGTACCCTGTCATTAACTCAAGTGCAATAAAACAGGCCAAGGGAGCAGTCTGTGCTACCATGGTTATCAGCCTGATAGGGGATTCCTCAATAAGCACAGAGGCACATGGTCTCTTGCTAGAGCTGATAGTTGTATACAGTGTGACTGTGGGTGGCTATTTCTCTGCTTGTTTGGCTATAAAATGAGAATAACTGCTCATTCATGTACATAAAAACTTTTCAGAGCTATGATTAAAGAGAACATGTGTGCATCAAGCATTACTTTTACTAATGAGCATGCTGATGGAACTCTGATCTATGCTCCAGGATACCAGCCCATCCTTAAAATAAAATCCTAGTAGTATGGAAATAAATAGGAAATTTGAGCAGTTGGTTTGTCAACTAGAATTGCTGTTAAAGCAAACAGCTCATTTCTAATCTGTAGCTGCAATGGCAGGGGAAATTGTGGCAGGCACTTGCTAATCTACCGTGCTCTGGTTTATACCTTTTCATTTTAGGCTTTCCATTGATAATGTGGCAGGGTCACATGGCAAATCTTGGGTGGGAGGCTTTTGAATCAGACCCAGCCAACCTGGGGACCAGGTTCCCAGGGAGGTTAGACAAGGGAGCAGGCAGGTTAGATAGGAGCCAGCTTCACAAACAAGTCTTGCACTCTGTCCCTTGAGAGTCACCTTTGTTACAGGGGGTTCATCAGCTTGGGAAAGTGGCAGTTGATCCCATTGAGTATTAGGAACTTTGACTATGCAGTGGATTGATTTGGCCTTTGTTTTGTTATGCCAGCTGACATTTAAAGAAAATAATTTTAAAAATCAGCACTACTTAAAATACGAGTGTAGATAGCTGGATGTAAAGCTATAAAATGAGTAGCTGAGAGTTGTACCCTTCTGAAATAAAACGTGAACCTAAGAACATGTTCAACACATGTTTTGATACAATTAAAGAATTACCAGAGACAGGCAGACAGAATGTTAAGGCATGATAAAAGTTATAGGAAATAAAAAGAGATTCGTTTGAGACATAGTTTGTGTGTCAGATCTTGCAAAACACCTATGTGTGAACAAAAGCATTACTAATAAAAGCTAGAAGGACCATCAGGCCTTCTTAGTAAAACTGAGCAAACTTCTGAGTAAAACTTAAAGAGCTTAATGCAGTCATATACATGAATTTTAGGCTTTGCAAATAGAAAGATGTTTTAAAAGTAGTTTGTCAGTATTGAAGATCTTTTACTATTCACTGCTCTCAGTAAAGGCAAGGAAAATCAGTGCAGCCCATTTATGTTTTATCTAATGTTTCCACACTGATGTTGGTAGTGGTACAGTTTTTGCTTTTCAGCTGCTGCAGTAGAATGATTTTTACTTCCAAAACTACTTGTGTGGCACTGAAAATTAAAGCTAGTAATCACATGAATGCTTGTCTTTATAAAATGTCAACCCAAATGTGAACCAATACTGACCTCAGTAAGAGATCAGTGTCTGTGTATCAAAGAACAGCTTAAGTAATTTTGCTAGTGCACTCTTTTGTTACTATAAATCTTTAAAATCTTCCAAAATGATGTTAGAATCATAATTTGTTTCCTGTTACAAACACACCCCTGCCCTCCCCCAGGTCAGGTGGTTGAATATTCAACTTAAAAGAACCAGCCCATTCTGCTCACTGAGCATCACTCCCCCATGGAGTAGGCCTTTGTCAAGGCAAAGTTTCAAAGCAAGCAGCCACCACAAGACTACCTGTCTTTAAAATCTTCAGCACAGGCTTGAATGTTCTCGGTGTGCAGCATAAGACGAGCATTTTCAAGGACTGCTTCACCCACCTAAAAGAAAGAGACAACAGAGCTCAGGCAGTGAAGAGCTGCAGGACATCATCTACATAGTGTACTTGTACCCTAAGCAGATCTATAGCTTTGATTCTGAAAATAATGCTTCAGCGTTCAGAAATCCTTCAGAAATCCTTCAGAGTTGTTCAGGTGACTCATTCCAGATAATTTAATACATTTATTTTGTACACACAGCTTCACAAATTCTCTGCAAATGGGGTGTAATTTGTCACCAAACCATTCATTGCTCCTAATCATTCATCTTCTTGTGGAAACATTTATGCTGATTGTCAGCTGGTCACAAGGGGTAAAACTCATGACTGTCTGCGAGGTATGTTCATTATTTAAGTCCTGCTTGTATTATCTGGATAGAGCTTAAGTAGCACTCATGCAGTTCCTATCCTACTTCCCATTTAAGCAATCCTCTTCAGAGTCATCATCTTAAGCAAGCCAAGGAATACTTTTTGCTCATGCCACCTGCTAACTATCCTCAGCTTCCGGAGTGTCATTTTTTGTCTCTGGTGGGATCCTGTAAGATGCCATCCACCCTAGGGTGTCGAGAGAGCTGCTGATGTCATTGCAAAGCTGTTCTCCATAATCTTTGAGAAGTCATGGAGACTGGGAGATGTCCCTGAAGACTGGAGGAAGGCTACTGTCACCCGCATCTATAAGAAGGGTCCAAAAGAAGAGCCAGGTAATTAGCCTCACTTCAGTCCTTGGGAAAGTCATGGGGCAAATCCTCCTGGGGACAGTCACAAGTCCATTGAAGCACATGATTGGGAAAAGCCAACATGGATTTACCAGGGGCAAATCATGCTTGACAAACCTGATCACCTTCTATGACTAAGTGAAGTGACCCGCTTGGTTGATGCAGGGTAAGTGGTGGATGTTATCTACCTGGACTTTTCCAAGGCTTTTGATACAGTCCCTCACAGACTCCTCCTGGTCATTACAGGCTTGACAAGTGGTCTGTGTGGTAGGTGGGGAACTGGCTGATGGACTATACCCAGAGGGTGATAAAAATAGTTCCTCCTCAATAGTAAATAGTTCCTCCTCAGACTATCAACTGGTCACAAGTGGGATCCTCCAGGGATCGATATGGGGACCAGTGCTGTTTAACATGTTCGTAAGGGACTTGGGGGTCTTGGTGGATAACAGGTTCAACATGCGTGAACAGTGCACTGCAGCAGCAAAAAAGGCCAACATGATTCTAGGCTGCATCAACAAGGACATAATCAGCAGAGTGGTGGAGATAAAGAAGTCATCATCCTGCTCTACGCGGCACTTGTTAGACCACACCTGGAGCTTTGCATTCAGTTTTGGTCCCTGCTTTACAAAAAGGATGTGGACAGGCTGGAGAGGGCTCAGAGAAGGGCTGCAAGGATGATCAGAGGACTGGAGGACCTGCCATATGAGGAGAGGCTGAGAAAACCAGGTTTGTTCAGCCTTGAGAAGAGAAGGCTTCAGGGACACCTTAAAAGGGTGGCTGCAAAGATTTACATTCCGTACTTACAAGGAGTCACATGGAAAAAACAAGGGGTAATGGGCACAAGTTGCTCTTGGGAAGATTCTGATTGGACACAAGAGGTAAATTTTTCACCATGAGGACAATCAAACATTGGAATAGTCTCCCAAGGGAAGTGACGGATTCCCCCACACTGGACAGTTTTAAGTCTCAGCTTGACAGGGTGCTGAGCCACTTCAGGTAAACTGTAGTAGTACCTAGAAAGGTTGGACCAAATGATCCTTGAGGTCCCTTCCAACCTGGCATTCTATGATTCTACAATTCTATGATCTCGTGATAGATACGAGACCTGAGAAGCAAGCAGTCTTCAAACTTTATTACATTGAAGGTGAAATGCTTTGGAAAGATTGTGCCATAAGACTGTGGTATCATTGCTTTGGCTCTGGGGGTCTTTAATGCCCATGAAGCACTTGAGGTGTAAGCAGACTGGAAAGGCTTGTGACATAGCAGCTTATTGTGATTCAATAAGGTTATATAAAATGAGAAAAAGGTAAAAAAACACCAGCGCCTGCCCTGGAGTCACACATGCAGTGAGCTATGGAAATGACTGAAGATGTGCTGAATTCGGTACCTGGCTTAGAGGTCGTCACAAATACCTGTCTGGGGGCTTCAGCCATTCCATGGTCCATGTTGTTAGTTGCTAAACTGAACATCTCTTTAGTCTTTTTCAGTAGATACCCATGGAGATTTGCAGTTGAAACTAAGCCACTACATGAATAAAAGAAGCTTTGTAAGCAGGCCAGGAGAGTTCTTGAAGCAGAAATCTTTCTTTAGATACTTAAGTCTGCAACTAAATGAGATTGCAAATCCCCTGAAGCATTCTGCTCCCCCAAGGTGAAACAGGACATGCAATGTGGAATCATCAAGGTTGTGTCCAGACAAGTTATCTCAAGTACCACAAGTGGGTTTGTTGCCTTAGTATGGTCCTACGTGCTCCTTGGCCTGCTATGTGGTGATGGGGTGGAGGTAGACATGCAAGGCTGAAGTATTTCTGCATGGTAATTAATGTTAACCCTCACAGACAGTGGTTTACTGCACCAAATGTCCTACAAATGCTTGTACAAACAAATATGAAATATGTGAAGGCAACTAGTAAAGGGAGATCTGGAGGAATAATCTGTTCCCCACACTGAGAAATCCATAATGGATCACAAAGTTAAAAGCATTCTACATCTTTTAAATCTGAGGAGGCAAGAGAGTTAAAAAAAGTGGTTTGCTTACTTTTCACCTACTGCTAGGAACAAAAAGAGAAGGTGGCTCTGGCTGGAAGCCTGGGACTGCAGCTCTGCTCCTGCCAGCTCCAGCTCAGCCTGGCTTCCAAAGGAAATAGAGCTAAGGCCATTGCTGAGTGGCCAATTTTTCTTTAATAGCTGTGGGTTTTCTTGTCCTATTCCAACCGATATAGGTTGAAATAGGTTGTTAGAGGAATGTACCATGTAAGGGACACATATTTCCAACCTATTTAATGAAAATAGCATCTGGACAGAGGAGAGATGTCCTGTGAATGCCACTACTGGGCAAAAAAGCCCCAGTTTAGGCTTGAGAATTAGAAAGCACAGTGAACACGCAGGAGTCAGAGATGTTATGAAAGCCACAGTTGTGGGCAAAGAGATGGAATCAGATGGCACACCAGGCAGCCCCACTGTGCAGCATGCAGAGGACCTTTTACGTGCTCACTTGCACACAGAACTGGTCTGCCTTCATCGTTCAGCCCTTGTTTCCTTCTCACTGTTTTTGTAATCCCACTTTACCAGCACAGACCTAACTCCCCAGTCCCCTGGTCATCCTGTGGCATTTCAGACTGGCTGTGCAGAGCCAGGACTTTGCCGCTGTGCTGTCCTCAGGTGCCCTTGCAGGACCTGAGTTTCTCCTGAAAGATGGAGAAAAGGCATTTGGTTTTTACATGGCAGCAGCCTGGAGGTAGAGGCAGTTCTTCGACCCAAGCTGTGATATCTTTTCCTCCTAATGTTTAGGATATTTACTCTTGGCCTCATTGGTTTTCTCTCCTCTTTTCTTTTCTCTTTTCTCTTATATGTTATTTACTTTTGGCCTAATTTGTTTTCTCTTCTCTTTTCTTTTCTTTTTTTTTTTTTCTTTTTTCTTTTCTTTTCTTTTCTTTTCTTTTCTTTTCTTTTCTTTTCTTTTCTTTTCTTTTCTTTTCTTTTCTTTTCTTTTCTTTTCTCTTTTCTTTTTTCTTTCGTTTTTTTTTTTTCTTCTCTTTTCCTCTGCTCTTCTATTTCTTTTCTCCTCCTTCTCCTTTCCCTTCCCTTCCCTTCCCTTCCCTTCCCTTCCCTTCCCTTCCCTTCCCTTCCCTTCCCTTCCCTCTTTTTTTTTCTCCTTCCCCCCCCCCTTTTTTTCCCTTTCCTTTTTCTCCTACAGAAATTATTGCATTTTTTTTCTTCCTGCCTGTCATCAGAGAAGTTGGTTGGGTTTTTTTTTTCCCCTGACTCAAATCAAGGAGCAGAAACACAGCCCTGTCATTTGTCCTGCCCTGTCAAAACAAGCCCATTTGCCTCCAGCAGTGAGCACCTGCACTTACAGTATCTGACATGAAGCCTGATGAAAATAAGTCTTTGAGTGAATTGGGACCATCCCACAAACAAAAGTACCATTAAATCCTGTGAGCTGCACGGAGCTACTCAGAGATATGTTAATGGCTGTGTTTAGAGACCGAATTCTGTTTAAAATGGCTTTTGGGTTGCAACAAAAGCAGAAGCAGGGAATAGCTGGTGATTTACTACTGTCTGGGTTTCTGCCTCTATGCAGAAGAAAACTGGGAGGGGGGTGTGCGTGTGTAAGTGCTTTTCATTAATAATCTTGTGATTTTACTGAGGCATTTGAGGTAGCTTCTTACCAGCCCCACAGTGGATGTCTCTGCCAGAGCCCTGATCTCATATTCCTGAGGACTCAGTTAATACCCAGCTCCTCTCTTCACGGACCACTGGCTAATGCCAAATGTACAGTGAGGAAGCGCAGACCTTTCCAAAACTGCACAAAAACCAGAACTGTGCCTTGTCAGTAAAAATGGTATAAAAAAGCATAATGTTTGGAAGCCTTCAGGGATGAGCATTGTAGTAGGAGCCAGCAGGCATTAACCTTTCAGCCCTCCCAGAAATGAGCTGTGTACGCTTCAAATCCAACAGTGAACCTGAAGGATAAATTATTACACAGAAGTTTCTATGTAGAAAACAGGTTTCCTGAAAAATTCTCTCTGATTCGCATGAGCTGTGAAAGCCCTTCTCTAGGCTTGCAAAGAAGAAATGTAAGACTTCCATCTAGTGGCTCGTTTTTTTGATTGAATTCTCCTGATAATTAAGAGCTGGATGCAAACAAGCAGCACCAGTGGGGCGGATTCACAGCCACTTTGCTGACACACACGTGCCAAAATGCATGATGCAGCAGATTAGGAAACACCCTTCTTTGTGTCCATTGGAAATGAGAGGGCTTGCAATGCTGCAAGCACTTGGACTTTGCCTCCTCTGCTTGTAAAGCAGGAGGCAACACTGTCCTGCCTCCCAGAGCTCTGGGAGGCTTAATTCACTGTTGCTCGTGTGGCATTTAAACGACCAAGATAGGAAGTGTTATCAAAATACAAATATTATTACTAATAAGAGCTCCTTTAAGTCGTGTGCTGTCTTTCAACACTCACGTGTGTGATACACATACACATTTTGAACATTTGTTGTTTTTTTTTCAGCTCTTGAATTAACACTGAATATTTTGTGGTATAAAACATCTTAACTAGAAAGCATCAACATTTTTCTTTGATTTTAAAGTCATTTTATAGATGTGAATCCAAAATTTAAGTTTTTAGCAAAAAAAAACACCCAACCCAAATGCCTTATCAAAATCTGCACCAACATACTGGCCCATTTACTGGTTTATGACTGGCAACATGGAAAACCAGAGTTTGCAGACTCCAGCCTTGATTAAAGGTGATGTGATGCAGACGCTGACAGGGAGAACTTGAACCTGATGGCTGGCAACTTCTGATTTTTAACAGAGATCTGACCAAGTTTGGAATTGGAAGCTGTACCACACCTTTCAAATTCTTAGCTATGCTTTATTGATAGTTTTGTATACTTCTTGTTGTTCTTACAAATGCCTAATCCCTTTCTGAATGCTGCTGAATTTGTGGCCTCAGGTGTGGCCTGGGATAATGAATCTCATGGTTCAATTATTCACGTAATGGAAAAATTATCTGGCTTTTAAGTTTGGTTTGGTTAAAGCAAATGATGCCTCTGTAGAGAAAGATCAGAAGATGCTGGTCTGCTCTTTCCTTCAGTACACAGAAAGAAATGGTTGATACTGGGCCATTGCCACCAACACATTGACACTCAGAGCTACATCTGGCTAAAATCATGCACCCCAGTGTCTGCTGCTCAGATGCCAAGCAGTCAACTTGTAATGCTTTCAGTCATGCTTTCCATGTTAAATCCCTTCTCAGAGCCTGAAGAAGGAAAACCTAAAGGCAGCAAAAGTGGCATCTGGTGCATTGCCTTGGGAAAGGTAAAACCTGGAGATGGTTCTCTTGCTGGAGATGGTTCTCTTGCTGGTAATGGGTCTCTTGCTGGTTCCTGCTGCATCCAAGAAAACACGACTTCACTTATATGTCCAATATTTTACAAGTAAACAGGACTGCATCAAAGAATACCTGGTTGTCAAAGTAGGAGATACGTCCTAAAGAAATAATCTGTAAAACTGTGATGTTGCCTAAGCACAAGGAGGACACCTTACCCCCCACCTCACAGCTGGATGTGAAGGTAGTCCAAGGTTGTGCTGTTGGAGGTGGCAGAGAGGATATAATTCAAATTAATTTATTGCCATCCATTGCCATGTATGGCAGTTGACTCAGCTCTGTGCTGTTTTGTGGGAGTTTGTCGTGCCCTTAGACCAGAGGCAGAATGCTGTTTCACCAATTAACAGGCACTAATCCTGCACTGTGTTGCATTAGAGTGTGTTACATCTGATACTCAGCTGCTCTCGTGGGCCTGCAGCAAATAAATTACTGTGTGCAAGACCAAATGCAGCAATTCCTCAGGCTGTCAGCCATGTGTATTCTCCAGGCTTAGTAGTAACATTGAGCAAACACTGGCAGTAAGGCCGGGCTCAAATCAAAATACCTCTGTAGAAAACCTTTGATTTTTCAAATGCTCCCAACCATGCACAGGAGTCACAGCAGGTGACCCCCAGCACTCTCAGGTGCTGCCCTGCTCCCTGGGAAGGAATTACCATTACAAACAACCTCCTCTTCTGCAGAACTGACACATTTGATTAGAAATAGAATTTTCCATGAGAAGACTGAGATGAAGCCTGAAAAGGCATCAGCCCAGGGGAAAATGAGAGGAATTTGTATTTCTGTCACATGAATTCCTCTCTGCAAGGACTTCTTGTATCCCTCTTTCCTGCAAAAATCCTCCCATTTTGCTCCTGTCCCAATTAGTGCATGTCCACCTGGTCTCCTAAAAAACAGCTGCCCTGGCAGATAATTAAAGCTGTGAGCTGGGTAGCTGCTTCCCATCATTCAGCTCCTGTCAGTGATTCCCTGCTGCAGTAATAGCTCTAACAATTGCCATGAAACAGGAGGTTTTTTTTCTCTCGAGGGGCCCTCCCCTTGTACCCTCCAAGTCACACGTTGCCACATTTTTCCCCCTAGCTCTGTGTTTGGGAGGAATGCTCTCACCCAGTTGGTGTTGCTGGGAGGACAACTCGCCAAAATGTGGGATGTTGGAGCACACCCCAGGAAGGGCAGGAGAGAAACAGAACCTTGAATCTTTTGGGGTCTTTCCTACCCCACTGCTGAGATGGGCTTGTCATATTTCTGATTTGGGGACCAGGAGAATCTGTGACTCCTATGGGGCCTTATCCTTGTCTTCTCACTAGGACAGGAGGAAAGGACTCCTGTGTAGACCCTGCCCTTCTTGTTAAAAATCTGTTCCCATTGTAGGCACTGAGGTTAAAACATGTGGCAGCTCAAGTGGCTTTCCACCCCAAGACTTTCACAGCTGCTTTACGCAAATGGAACTGAGGGGGTTCAATGGCTGCTGGGCATCCCTCCTGGCTGAATTCTTGGGGCTGGATGGGAATCAAAATGAATCCTCAGATTTTGCAGGAGGCTGAGAAGAGGATGTGTCACATTAAGGTAGCTGTGGACATCTGCAAAAAAAATCTAAGTATATGTACAAAAATTACATCCAGAAATGGATGTGCCAGGTATCTCTCATTTCTGTTGCACCTTGTTCCTGCATACCTTCTACTTCTCCTGCTGGGATGTGTCTTGGCAGGAAGGTACTGACTTTGTGTGATTGCAGCCATACTTGCAGCAACTTATTTTGATGTTGTTTTAATAAATGTGACAGTTTCAGGGTTGATGCCGGCACGTTTGCCCGTTAGCTCCAGGATGAATGAGTTATTTGATGTTTGGGCTGGATGATGTTCTACTTTCATTTTTGGTTAGATGCTTCCTATCAAAACAGCGAAAAAACCTCTTTGTCAGAATTGTATGTAATGGCTCAGGTTATAGCTGAGAAAGTCAAAACCCACTAAGTGATTCTTCTTTTACGGCTTTATGGAAGGAATTCAGAAAACTTTATGTAATCTCTAATGTGTTTCAATTGCTAAATAGGTATAGATGATGCTAATCTTATTTTTTTTTGCTTATTTTCTGTGATACTTGCAAATACTACTACTACATAGCTTTTTTTTTTCATGATTTTATGTAGGAAGAGCCCACTATTCAACCTAAATTTCATTATGAGTGGCTCTTATTTACTCGTAAGAAAGGGAGACAGAAGCAAAGTGGCAGGATGACAACATAAAGAAAGGTTAAAAAGAAAGCGATACGGGTGGAAAAGTATTGTCAGAGCTAAAATGTCTGAGTTTCATATACAGACAAATCAAGAAGTCCTTCCTAAAGTATCTACAGTTCCTACTTTTTTGGTCTTAGCCATAAGGTCCAGCAGGTTTTACAGCTGAGGTCTACAGCTGCAAAATGGGACACGGATCTAGAAAACACGAGCTGGTGGCTGCAAAGCAGTAACTCCCCCTTGCACATGACAGTCCCCATCTACCTCAGCGATATGACAGGTTCATAAAACAGCTTATGCCTCTGTGTTCTGGGTTCAGATGACATTTGTAGCATTCTGGGTGAAGACCTGCCCTAAAAATGCCGCTTGTTGTAAAAATTCACCTTTCCTACACTAGGGTAAAACCCTGGCCAGCCTGAGGTAAAACACACACAGTTGTCCTGGGCAACTTTTATCTGACAGGCTTCCTCAAGACCTGCCAAAAGCATCTTCTGTTTCTCCACAAGCGCAGCTGGGAAGATATGTACAAGATGCTGGGCTCCAGTTCTTTGGGGTCCTGTCTATTTCCACTGGCCAGGCGTTGAGAAGCCAGGACTCATGAGATGCACCAAGACCTCAGGGGACAGAGCCCCATATTTTCTGCAAGCAGACATCAGCCTGCAAAGTCTTACTGGTCAGCAAAAGGAACTGTTTCTTCTTCATGAAGTCAATGCAAACAGCATTTTGCACCCCTTTCCCAGACAATGCGCAGCCTGTGCCATACGGAGAAGGTGGGAGGAAGGGAGGGATGATGGGGTGGTGACAGAGGGAAGGAGTCACTCATTTGTAGCCGTGGAATTACTATTTTTAAATAAATAGAGCTTTTGCACATGTGATTAAACAAGCAAGGGAATAAAGTAAAAATCCGAAATTCTAATAATAATAAAAAAATCATTGTGCTTGTAATGATATAATGATGAGGGATACACTAACTCAGTCCTAGCAGTTTTCTTTTCATAACTTTGATGCTCAGTGTAATAACCACAGCTGAGAAAAAAATAAAATAAAATAATAATAATAATTAAAAAATCACCAATTTTAATCATCCCTGACTATCACGCCTTGGGGTGCATTTCAATCGCCCCCATGTGCAGGACGCCTGAGGGCAATTCTCATGCTTAATAGGCATTTTCCATGGCACACTGCGAAACGATAATGCTAATGATCACGAAGAGAGATTTAAAACCCTCTGTCTAGGGCACGGTGCCTCGAACTCAGGTGGCACTGATCATCAGCACCAGCCCTCCGTGCTAATGGCTGGTGAGGCTCCCCCGGCAGCGCTCACCTGGTGGTAAATGGCCTCCCAGTTCTCCCGCAGGGCGCCCCAGCTGCCCACGCTGGCCGCTTTCTTGTCCAGGTAGACTCTGATGTGCTCCTCCAGCTCCTGGTTGACCTGCTCGAGGGCTCGCACTTTCTCAATGTACTCCACCAAGCAGCCATTCAGGCTCTCGTAGGAGAGAGCCCTGCCCTTCTCCAGCCCCGGGGCCAGGGGCACGGCAGCAGAGGAGCTGCGCAGGCCCTGCAGGAAGACACTGCTGATGCCCAGGGCTCTGCGGGACACTCGGGTGCCCAAGCTGCTGACACCACCCGTGGGGACGGTGCCCACGTAGACACCGGGGGGTCTCGACAGGCTGACCCGACGGCCGGGGGGCCCCGAGCCCTCCGCTGCGGCGGAGGCGGAGGAGGGCTGCCACCGGGGCCGCCTCTCCGGGCCCGCACTGGCAGGAGGGATGTGCCGAGCCCAGCGGGTTGGGGTTCGCGCGGGGTTTCGGCTTTGTGCGACAGCTTTCTGGAAGGGGGGCTTTGTGCTGCCCGGGAGCGCCCGGCACATTGTCTGGGAGGCCGCCGTGTCAGCAGTCCCATTGCAGGGGAAATCTCCCTGCTGCTGCTGCTGCAAATGTGGCAGATGAAAAGCACAATGGTGTTTACAGGGACAGCAGGACGGGGATTCAGTACAACGTACGTGTTAAAATACCACCGGGTGTTTTCTACGCTGACACCCGGGTGATTTCCTACGCTTACACCCACAGGCAGCTGGGTGTGTGTTACACACGCGTTGGCCCCTCACACCTGTGCTTGCTTCAGACAGTCTCCTGTAGCAAGTTGTTACCTAAAGTTAGAAAAACCCCAAGTTTTGAGGAGCTGGCAGGGCCACAACCGAGCCGAGGTGAGCTGAGCCGAGCCAGCCCTTCACTGCTGCAGAGCCTTGAACGCTCCCTCGGCCCCACTGCAGTTTCTGGATTCCTCTGCGCTTTGGCTTCACCACCCGACCAGGGCATGTTGCCCCAAACCCAGCAGATTTTAACTAGGGACAGGCACCCTGATGTCTACCCCTGCTCAGCTGGTTTAACACCACTTTATCAGCCGCACCTGGTCTGTTCAACCAGGGCCCGTTCACTTTGACTGTGTAACGTGGAGACACAGTGAGGCAGCTGTGAGCTGAAAGGGCAAAACCATCCCTGAGACTTATTGCAGAGTGTGGGGGCGGCTTCTCCTCCTCTTCTTTTTATGTCCCTGCTCTTCAGCACCTAGTGACCAGGTGGGTAGTTTATAAGTACATACATATGACAGTCCAGTGAGATCCTTTGCTATACAATGTTAGATATAACTTGTTCCATGTGTGCACCTTTGCAGGCACGTCTGCAATGTGCTGATGTTGGGCATTGCCCTAAGGCCGTGTAGGTTTGTGCAGGGGCAGCAGGCAGTCTTTGCCAAGGTGGGACACAACCAGAAATCCCTGTCTTCCATGGAGTCCTGGCTTGCTGAGTTAAGTGGCTGGAGTTTGTTTTGGTTGCTTTTTACATTTGAGAACTGTGAGACTGCCTGCAGTCAACTCCCCGTTTCCTGGGTGTGTGAAGTCCAGGAATAGTGCAGCATTTCACGGCTTTGCAAATATTTTTGGCTAGTTTCTAGGCATTCTGAATTTACATTACCAAGCTAAGAGTGTTGGCTAAATGAGAGGAACCCTTCAGTATTTCTCACACAACATTTTCAATGTATTTGCTCTGTGTCAAATGATTAAAAAAAATAAAATAAAAAAGCAACACCATGTAGGGAA